TCTTGGACCGTCGTGGAGCCATCTTGGGGCGTCGCGAGGGCCTCTGGGGCCGTCGCGGAGCCAGCTTACGCCACGGTCTTGGATCTCTCTCTCGGGTCGCCTTGGTGCCTTTGGGGTGAGAAGCTGAAAAACACTCTAACAAAAACCATCGAAACAAGTTGGAAGCTTTGGGACAACGTTGGGAAAACTGTGGGGACTTTTGAAAAAAACAAGCCGGGGAAAACTTTGGAAAACTTTTGGCGTCTCTGGGCCCTCTCAGGAGGCCTCTTGGGGCGCAGCGTGCCCGGGAGCGAGGACGGGAGGCGAGGAGAGCAGGGCCCGCCACCCCGAGGCTCCCGTCAGGGATCCCCCCCCCCCCCCCCCCCCAGGGAGTGGAAGCGAGCAGCGCCCCCCCTCTGCGAGGCGGGGATTCATCCATGTCCGCCGCCTGTGAGCCGACGTCCTTTGTGCCCCAGCGGGCGGTGGACATGGATGACTGTTTGGCCCCCGGGGGCCCGGAGATGTCCATATCCACCGCCTGCCGAGGCTCGGGCCCTCTCCCCGCTCCCCGAGAGAAAAAAAGAAGCGGCAGACATGCGCGCGGGTTGCCTCTTCAAGACGTCGGCTGTCTGAGGTCCAGGTGCGCCGAAGATTGGCGGCGCGCAGAGGGGGGCAGGGCGAGGGGGGAAGGCGTCTTCGAAGCATCCCTGCTTCTTGGAAGGCGCGGGCCTTGTCTGTAAATGTAAGGCCCGCGGCTTCTAAGAAGCAGCCTCCTTCTAATGCGGGATGACGATAAGTAAAAAATGAGAGATAACGATTAAACACATAGTTTTCTGCTATTTATGCACAATTTTCTGACTGGAGGAGACCGATATAAAGCATAGTTTTCCAGCCCGCGGCCGGATTTTTCGAATCGTCATCCCAGGCGCCGCCGCGTGAACACGACCCCAGGTCATTTATCAATCGTCATCCTCCATTACCCCCCCTCTGCGCGCCGCCAGGAAGAGGGGGGCCGGGAGGGGGGCAGCGCACCACGGCCCGAGGCACGCGCGAGCGGGCCGTATTGGGGGCCACCGGGCGTGCGCAGAGGAGACGAGGGGAGCCATGACATCTGGGATATCTCAAAGCTCCCCTCGCCTCAGGCGAGACTATGGGAAGATATGGGACGTGGGGGGGAAGACAAACATCCAGAACATGGGGAATGAGATTGGACTTCCTAGGATTTGTCTACTTCATAGTCATCACCCTCCTCGTTCGACGCCTCGTGACGGAGATATGAGATATCTGAGAGACATCTGAGATATCTAAAAGCTCCCCTCGTCTCAGGAGAGAATGTGGGAAAAGATGGGACGTGGGGGGGAAGCCGAAAGACACATAAAACGTAATCCAAAAATACTTGTTGTATGGTGGCAGTAACACGAAAAATCGTCACCGCACTATGTTTTGACTATTCTTGGGTATTCTTCCTGTAGAGGGACATGTCCGACTTAACAGCACCACTTGGCCACCTGGTTCGCAGGGGGGAAACTCGGGTGTTGCTAGAAGTGTCCCTGGCCCAAGGTGCCCCCAGGATTCCCAGCAGGCCCCCACGGCCTCCAGAGCACCCCTCACGAGGCCCAGAAGGGGCCCAGTGGCTCAAAAATGAAACGAAAAGCTGGGGGGGGCACCTTGGGCCAGGGACACCTTTAGCAACCTCCGAGACACCGGTCCTGAGAGCAACGGGTCCTGGACCCTGGGGCCTTTCGGGGGGCATGGGAGGGTAGGATAGCAAAGGGCAGGGTAGATAATCAGCTCACGTAGTATCGAGGGATGGGCCCGGCGGCAGGGCCGAAACCAGCTGCATGCAGCAGATTTCGCATATCCACTTTTCTCTACCCCCACCCCCTTTCGTTCGGCCCGAGCCTTTCCCCCAGAACCACGTCTTCATCCTGCCTCGACTCCCGACGGCCCTGGGTCCCGCGGAGGGCCCGGGGAGCCCGAGCACGGCGACAAACCTCGGGAGCCGTTGCCCTCAGGACCCGCGTCCCCCATGGCGGTCTCGGCCTATCTGCTCGGACCCCATCTGGGAGGTTTACGGGACCCCCCCGGGCATCGCCTCCGGCGCCCGCTCCGCTGGCGCGGCGGGGGGCTCCGCTGCCGCGACGCCCGGCGCGGCGTCGTCGGAGGCGGGCGGCTCCGCCTGCGGGGGTTCCGCGGCCGAGGGAGGCTTCGGACGGGGGCCCTCGTTCTCCTCGGTCTCCTCCGCCCCCTCGTTCTCATGGTTCTTCTCCTCCTTCTCCACCTCCTCCTCCTCCTCCTCCTCCTCCTCCTCCTCTTCCTCCTCCACCTCCTCCTCCTCCTGCTCCTCCTCCTCACTCTCCTCCTCGTACGCCGCCTCGTCCTCCGCCCCGGACCTTGTCCTCCTGCGCCCGTGTCCTTTCGGGGAGGGGGGCAGAGTAGCGACCAGGAGAAGCGACGGGCGACAGGGGGAATGACGGGGGAGGGGGAGAGGAGGAGAGAGAGAGAGAGAGAGAACAAAAAA